GCTTTAAAAATTGAGGGACGTCATTAGGGCATTTTTAACAAGAAATTTGTTTTCATTTTTACACCAACTAAAATATCAAAGTACTTGCAGAGAAAAGAGGCAATTGCTGTTGTTAAACTGAAAAACTTGGGAATTTTAAATATTATTACAAAATAGTAGAAACAAAAAAAGTTACTTGAGGGTGATGGAACTAACACCAAAATGCACTTCTGATTTTAGACAGCTGGGTTATAGTAGAAAAGGCTTTCTAGCGCCACTGGGGATATCTCAGCTTCTCTTTGTGCTGTTTCCTTATTTGACAGCAGTCCTGTTTGAGTGGGGTGGTTGAATTCTTTATTTGAGCTTCAGAAGTCCTGTGGGACCACAACTCCCTATGCTGGCTTCTGTGGGAGAAAGTCTTACTGAAATCATAATTCAGTAAAAGAGTTGTTGGTGAACAGAGGCCTGATCGGGAAAGGCTGTAGGAACACGCGTGTTCGCTTTCCACTAGCTGTTTCCTCAGCTCTTGTCTCCAACTGAGGCTATGATAGTGAAATAAGGAAAAGAAACAACGTGGGCAAGCTTCTGGAAGGCTGGACCAAATTAGCTTTCTGTAATGCTGATGTAAGTGATGTCTACTTCTGCCCACTTTGTGTGTCAAGGGACAGGAAGTCAAGGGAACTTTGAATATGGTTATACACTGTGAAACTTGGGCAGTTTCTAGACTACAAAACTTGCATTCAAAATGTGTGTATAGCAGCACTACTGGCCAAATGCAGAAGAGTTTGTGTAGTCCCAAGTGCTCCATTCACCTGCTGTAGAGCAAACACTGAATGCTGTGCTGCAAGGATCTGTTCCCACAGATTTCACCAATGATGCCTCGGTTTTAGCTTGTTTTTGCTGCATTATCCAAGTGCCAGTTATGTTATCCGAGTGTCAGTGCTAACACTTAGAGACCACTCCATGCATTAGGATTGGTAATATTTGGTCTTCCCCCTGAGGCTGGTAGCTGTGACCATTAATTTATTTTCAACTGGACAGTTCAAAGCTGAACTAACAGTGTAGAGATATGAGAAGAAACATTTTGGTAGCTGGTTATTTATTGCAATTTCAGACTAGTGTTAAATGGGCAAGTATGAAGTGTATGTCTGACTTCACACATTTTCAGATTTGCTCTTTTAGTAGTGTAAGTAGACTATACTATTTTCAGTACTCTTGCTTCTAAGCACTCTACTACGTTCCAGGAAATGAATGAGATATCTTGGGAAAAGCTGAGGACAAAGCTTTGTGAAATACTGATTTAGACAGTGATTGCAACTAGATGTATACAAATCTACTGTCAGGACAAACACTGTCAGATTACTGTAGGTTACATTAATATCCCAGTGTCTGATCTCAGAATCTTTCCCTTTCTGTTTTTGAAGTTTATGCAAGCTATCAAAAGGTCCTACATTGGTTCTTGTAGCTACGTAGACCTTCAGTTCCAGAAGAAGAAGAGATAAAGACAGAACGATATACCATTTTGCTTTGAATTTAGGGCAAGTAACTTGAATGTTTTGCAAAGAAAACCGTTCAGTTTAACTGTGTGATTATCTTCCCTGGGTTTATGCCACTGAACTTGAAACCCCACCATGGATGTCCAGCATTAAAATGGAAATTACTGTTCTGCTATTGCAGATTCTCAAGTAGATAGAATTTTTTCTTAGTATTGTATGTTCTTAGATCTTACATGTCCTCTTATTCAAAAATTATATCATACCAGTAAAACTAGGAATGCATACCAAAGAACTGCTCTCACTGAAGTCAATAGTAAGTGTTCTCAAAAGGTCAAGATTTTTTTCCAAAAGTAACTCATGGTAACTCAGGTCAGCAGTGACAGAGCGTAACAGAGGATGCTTGTATTCTTGTATTTTCTACAGTAACTCCTTAATTGTAAAGTGTTTTGCCCACACATGAAGTACTCCTGCGTTGAAGATGTTTCAATACAAATATAACTCCGCTGAGAAGTCCACTGTTAATTTGAGGTATTCATTACATTTGCGAGTCTGTTAGTTTTATTTTCAGAAAGACTCATTTCAGTGAAGTTTTGTCTCCCTACTGAAACTTGCAATTGTCTGAGCTTGTTAGGGTTTATTGTATGCTTCTGGTTTAAAATAAGTCAGTATAACTATCTGGGAGAGAAAAGCAAAGTGACGATGATATTTATTATATAAATAAACCTGTGTGCTCCTTTATTGCAGCAGACATTTTTGCAAATGTGCATTTTGGACACTGTTTGCGTTTCTTCTAGTATGTGAACTTGTTGTACATAAACACTACATGCACTGAAACAGTATGGGTAATATAACTTGCCAACTGTTGGATCTGCAGAATAAAATTTTCTACGTTTGCAGTGATGAATGTTTTTCAGATATTTTCATATGCTTTTCAGAATTTAACTTAGCTGTCAGAGTACTCCAAAGGTCTAAATATAGCAGACTGTAGTGTTTTGAAGTGATAGTTCAGAATGAATTTCCAGATCTCAAAAGTGGCACCTGTTAGATCAGAATACAGTGAATTATGCTCACTCCTACTGCATTTCACTATCCATTTCTGGTTCCATGCATATTAAGGGTGATTCAGTATGCCTTTTGTGCTTGGCAGTCTGATTTCCACAGCTAAGAGGTATATATAAATAGCATGATTTCAATTGCAAAACATTGATTTCCTCCCAAAGCAGATGTGTTTTATCTAGCTAGTGGTAGGATATTTCGAGGCAAGATCACTGTTCCTATTTACATTTAAAAATACAGAGCAAAATGAAAAGAACACCTTGATATGTTTGTATTTTGGTTGTTCAGTGTTGGCTTGTTTGTCTGACAGTCTTTCTTTAGCTAAGTTGTCTTGGATATCCAAAGTGTTTCTGTTAAAATTGTTTGTGCTTTTAAAGGCTGAATGGTATAAGCAGGTGTTTTGCATGCCTGTAAATATTTTTTTTTCTTTTATTGGAAAGACTGCTGGTTAATTTTGGTCTTGATGCTGGTTGGCTACATGCCTCTTTTTTCCTTTCATTTTTCCACTGATAGTTCCAAAATACTGTGAAATAAAAACAAACTTCTGAATCACTGGGGTCAGTGACAGAAGGAAGTAGACAACTGTGCTGTTGCAGATCTTACTAGAGGAGCAGAAAAGTTATTAGCTCTTCTGATTACCAATCTTCTTAAAGGTTACTGCCCTCAAGGCTCAGACGCAGTAGCAGATCACACAAGATCTTACAACTGGAACTTGTATACCTCTAAATTAAACTTTGACGAACAGTAAAGCTCAGCTTGTTCAGGTTGGGTCACTTAAGATGATTATATGTATTTTGCGTGTAAACAAGAGTCTGATGAACATCTCCAGCTCCCTCAGATTTGGAATATATTTGTCTCAAGAACCGAATACCTTGTTTTCCAACTGAGCCAGGGCTAGAGGCAAGAGTTTGAATCCTTATTAGGACTTCTTATATTGCTTGTGAAGCCAGAAGGATGTTCCCTTGCTTTCTGCTCTTCTTCCCAGTCTTTCCTCATGAATTGTGTAGTCCTACTGGTATGTGAAATCTTATTCAGAATTCTTAGCAGCAGCTGCAGCCACACAGTTACATTTCCTTAGATCCACCCCCAGACAAAAAAAACTTGTCCTACTTCTACAGGAATTTGTGTCAGTATACTTTCAAGAGGCTTCCAGACTTGAGATTTGCATCTTTTGTTCCCCCCATAACAATAAAAGCAGAGTTAATTGTAAGTGGCAGATGCTCAGTTTATGAAGTGCAAACGGGTTTAGAATAACATATGTGTGTAAGCGCCCAAGGTTAAATACTCAAGTTAGTGATAGGGAATTTAAGTTCACTTTATATTGAAAAAACTTTTCTATGTTATTTGGATTTTCTAACTAAGTATGAAAACATGAAGTGTTCTGTTTCATGCAGTAGTATGATCTATGGCTTATTTAGGTCAAAGTGATTTTGATGTCCAACCAAATAGTTCAGTCCTTTTTAATACAATAGCGCAGGTGTTTTAGAGTTTTATGTTTCTAAATCAGTTGGTAACTTCTTTTAAAAAAGCATTGATTTTTCTTTCTTTCCCAGTTTGTTCTTCTCAGTGTGTGTCACATTGAATTTGTGACTCTGTGAAGCCATCTATACCACAGATTTTTAAAAGCCTAAGAGGTGTTTTTTCTTCCTGTGCTAATTTTAATCAAACAACTGACCCTTGCTACTTCCCAGGGTTCCTTGAGAGGTTCAGCTTTTTGTTTCTCCCCCCCTTTTTTTTTTGTTCTTGGATGATTTGATCATTAAACAATTAGACTTCAGGTGGAAGAGCAAACAACACGTGGATAGTAATGAGGTCAGAAGCTCCCTGTTGGGTCTTCACAGAGGAAGCTAGGTCATGCTAAATTATCTGCATGTGTTGGTGAGCAGTATTCTAGCAAAGATGAATGAGAGGCTGAGAATAAAGGAGAGCTTTAATAGGAGAAATGATGGACGCATTCGTTCTGGTGAATCCCACTATCTGTCAGAACCATGTCTCCTGCCCCTGCTAAATCATATTCTTTTTCAGGTTAGCAGCTCTGATAGCTACCTGCTAGGCTGCAGAATCTGTGTTAAAAAAGGATTTCCCATTTTGGTTTGATTCTGCCACCTAGTTTAGCAATATGTTAATTGCTTTTGGAACCACTCTGTGGATAGACTTAGTACTGCGCTGAGTATGAAGGAACAGGGGTTTGATTCAAGATGTTCATGGGATGCGTGGTTCTGTGACCATGAAAAGAAATGTGTGTGTGTTGGCTTTAATTGTGTGACATCAATATTTTCATGATCCGACTTTTGAATCAGAGTTCCTAAAAACTGTGTTTATGTTTTGAGTGCAGAGTTTCAGAGTGCAGAACCAGATCTTTACCTTGAAGCTGCATCAAAGCCATACTGCGTATCTTGGGCTGTGGCACTGGGAGAGGCAAACTCGGAAGGTTTGCAGAATAAAATTCAGCAGCTCCGGAGGCTGATCATGGAAATCAAAGAGGAGAGATCATCAGATGAAGCACGGCAGTTTCTCCCTTCATCCCAAATAGACAGTTTAGGAGAGCCACAGTTTACAAGTAAGTGCGTATACTCAATTTATGAAGTAGTACAATAAAAATGGCCTGCTACCTGTAGCAGTACAGATAGTGTCACAAACAGGGCACATAATGATATTTTACTTGTTGCTTGCCAAAGTACAGTTGTAGAGGAAGCAAACTGATGAAGATAATCTTTAAATATCATTACCTGATATGTTTTGATTTATGCAGATAACCTTCAGGGGAATAAATGTGTGATTACTGTGTATCTGACTTTCTCTCTAAACTATTTTCTTCATAAAACTTAGAAATTGTTTAGCTGGAAATATTCTTTTCCTCTTCTGTGTCCTAGATGAACATATGGACTATTGTTTAAAATATAGTCTGATAACTTTGATAAATGTATAAAGCTTATAAATCTTCAGCGATACTTAAATTAGTATCATAGAATCATAGAATCATAGAAAGTTTTGGGTTGGAAGGGACCCCTAGAGGTCATCTAGTCCAACCCCCCTGCAGCGAGCAGGGACACCACTAACTAGATCAGGATTTGTTCTTTGTGATCTAAAAGCACTCTGTGGATTTGAAGCACGTAGCCAGATGTTGAGCTGTGTTTGGTGCACTGGAGACTGGGCTACACTGTATTGCTATGCACTGTATTTCAGTTGCTCAGTTACTTAGTCAAGTGTGTATCCATCATATTCATAAAGGTGTTCCAGACCAATATGCTGACTCTACTAGTGGCAGAATTCAACTTGGAAATTTGCTATAACTCTGTTATAACAGATAAGTTTGGTTTTTTTTCTTACTGACCAATGCCATTCTAAGCTCCTCGGCTGTAATTGTTCTTGCACAGACTTGAATGTCTAGTTATAGTAATGAGGACAGTGTGAAACTACACCTATACAGCAACATGAAGTTTTCTCAGATCAAGAACAGCTATAAGTTTTGGTGGGGATTTTTGTGGTTGAGTTTTTGGTTTGGTTTGGGTTTTTTGTTGTTGTTTTGATTACTTCTTAACGAAATCTTGTGTTCCACTTCATATACCAACTTGATCCTTCCCAACTGACCAATTTCTTCAATACTGGCAAATACTTTCTTCAATACTTAATAATGTTCACTGGAGACAATACATAAATGTCAACAAGAGACAGTATAATTTCTACAAGGTTCATTGATACTTTAGTAGTAACAACTGTAGTTGTGATCCAGTTACTTCCTGCAGAGTGTGAACAACTCGGTGTTACTTAACTGTCCTTCCTATATTTCTCTTGTTGCATCTCTGTGTTTCACTCCTTTATCCTGGTGCAAGAAGAAGTTGCAGTAAAATGTGCACTAGAACATAATTCCACAATGGAGGGAATTAAAATGTTCTGACTCTCCTCAGTATATAGAATAGAATCATTTAGGTTGGAAAAGGTCCTTAAAGTCATCAAGTCCAACTATAAACCTAACACTGTTAAGTCCACCACTAAACCTTATCACTAAGTGCCACATCTACACATCTTTTAAATACCTCCAGGGTACCTCAACCACTTCCTGCACAGCCTGTTCCAGTGCTTGATAACCCTTTTGGTGAAGAAGTTTTTCCTAATATCCAATCTAAACCTCCCCTGGCACCACTTGAGGCCATTTCCTCTCATCCTATCACTTATGACTTGGGAAAAGAGACCGACACCCACCTCACTGCAACCTCCCTTCAGGTAGTTGTAGAAAGCAATGAGGTCTTCCCGGAGCCTTCTTTTCTCCAGACTGAACAAACCCAGTTCCTTCAGCCACTTCTCATAGGACTTGTTCTCTAGCCCCTTCACCAGCTTCGTCACTTTTCTCTGGACACGCTCCATCGCCTCGTTGTCTTTCTTGTAGTGAGGGGCCCCAAACTGAACTCAGTGTTTGAGGTGCGGACTTCCCAGTGCAAAGCGCAGGGGCACGATCACCTCCCTGCTCCTGCTGGCCACGCTATTGCTGATACAAGCCAGGATGCCGTTGGCCTTCTTGGCTACGCTGTCAACCGACACCCTCAGGTCCTTTTCTGCTGGGCAGCTTTCCAGCCACTCTTCCCCCAGCCTGCAGCATTGCATGGAGTGGTTGTGACCGAAGTGCAGGACCTGACGTTTAGCCTCATTGAATATGGTAAAAGGAATTCAAGTGCTGTTTTCCAACAAACAGAAGTTGGTTTTGTTGCTTTACAATTTGTATGTAGGTCAATAACACAGTGATATATTTTACTGTATTAACCTGATTTATATACTTTCACAGAAGATGTTTTTTGTTTACATTTTTTAGTATGATGACATACCTACTTAAAAATGAGTCATAAAATTTAATATTTTTTCAACAGATATATAGTTAGTTGTTGTGATAGAAAATCTTACAAGTACTTATCCATGAAAGGTTGTGGGGTTTTTTTTCTTAGTTTCCTTTCCCAGCAACAGAAAGTTTCTGTTAAAAAGAAAGAAGTCTTCTTCAAAAGTAGTCTTTTTTTCAGGCAAGTATTTCATGCAAAGGTCTCTTTCACTATGACTTTGTAACATAAGCCATTACTCCGGTGGCAATGGCAGGTAGCTAGAGGTATGAATTAGGCACATGAAACTTTTACTATGTATTAAAAAAATAGACATTGAAATAAAAGGTTTTTTTGTTGTTTTTGTTTTTTCTTTTTGTTAACCTTAAAAGGTATTCAGAGAACTGCAGATCAGCCAAAGCTGGAGTTCAGTCTTGGTAAGATACAATTTTGACTTTTGCTTGGAATTGCACTGTCTTCTGTGTGTGAAGAATTTATATATACAGTGTTATACAATGTAGCTTGTTACCTGTTTTTGAAAAAGCAGAACAACCCTGGTTCCTTTAGGTGGTAGATACATGTGCATGTATTTGAAATGCTGACTTTAGATTCTGAATGGTTGAAATAGCTGAAGATCTTTTGAGTTCTCTAATGCTATGCTGTTCTACGAAGCTAAAAATCTGCCCAATAGCTTTGTAAATGTTGTTTAAGAAATAGTACTGATTTGGGGCAAGACATTTAGGATGAAGTTTTTTAAAAAGATATTTTATTCAGATAAAAGTAGTCCCTTTAGAACAAATGTTTTTTTAAAAGTGTTGGTTATTATTTCATAGAGAAAAGTCAATGTAGAAGTTCACCTGATTTTCTCTTTCTATACTTTATATAAGTAATTAGTATATGAGAACTATATATTAGTGTAGTGTGAGAGAACTTCATTTCAGGATGTGTTCTATCAGCTCAAGCCACCCTCTCTATTCAGAGGTATACAGCATGATTAAGATTGCTCAGTAAGCCAAGCAAGATAATTGAATTACCATGTATTTGTAATACAAGATAAAGATGCACACTATTTTCAGCCTAAACTGTGCTGTTTAGAAAGGAAAATTGTCAACTTTTTCATTTCTCTTTCAGAGCAAAACCTTTATATTTGAAGCTTTTGAAATAGTGAGTGAAATAATTTTCTATAGAAGCACTAATGCAATAATTCCATATCAGAAATCAGAATAATAACTAGATTTAGTTGATTAATGGTTGGACTTAATGATCTTAAGGGTCTTTCCAACCTAAATAATTCTATCAATATTCCCAGTTCATGTGGTTATGGTAAAATAACACAGTTGCAAATAATGTATCTTTTGAAATGTCATGATGCATACATTCTGAAATGACTAAAACCTGTCCGATTTGTTATGATTTTTGCATTCGTATAATCTGCTAATATGCATCTAATGTTGTATAGCTATACATTGAGAAACTTTTATTCAGTGCTATTCAATATCTGTTATATTTACTCTGATAGAAACACTTTAAAACATCTATTGCCAAAATGTGCGTGTGTGAGGGAGGAAGAGGAAAATAGAGACATTCGTAAGCAGGATATTATATGAAAATCAGTCAAACTCCACTGTTTTGAGAATTTGTGTTGTCTATAAACAACTGTCCACCAGAAACCCTCCAACACAGCAAACAAGATGGCATCATTGACATGCCTGCAGGGTCTCACCCTGCTCATTCCATCATGGTAGCTGGTTCCCTTGCCCTGTCCTTTGCGCTGGGTTGCACCTGGCTTGTGCGCTGCTGTAACTATGCTGATTTAAAAGCTGATACCCTAAAGCTGTGCCCTTTGGGGCAGATGCAGTTTGTGTCTGATACAATAATTTTTAGATTTGTTAACTATATCTGGGGAACTTTACCTGTATGCCTTTCAAAAACTAGACAGTTACAGTGTTACAAAAACTTTTTTGAGTGTTTTTTTTTTTTTCTGTAGGCATGATTTCTGCTGAAACTTTTAAATGTCTGCATGGAAGAAAGGACTAGTTGTCTGTTGGGGAATTACCATGCTGTAATAATTCAGACCTATTTTAACTTTCCAGTGCTTTTCTATATGCATTTTGTAGGTGATGTGACTGTAGTATTTGGGCATGGCTAGTAATTGCTGTGCTCCAGCAATAACAAACTCCCAGAAAGACTCTGGCGTGGCATAGAAGAGGGAGGAAGGTGCAACAGGCGGTAACTGCAAATTAGATTAGCCATACTTCAGGAGAAGCTGCTTTCAGTGATAAATGTGCCCCAGCAGGCAGAATTGTAAAAACGATGTAAAGCTATTTATTTGGGCTCGTGCTGGATGGAGCTCTGTTCACTCATGGTGTCAATACTTGTGTTTTGCATTTTGTTGTTTCTGGTAGGAATTTATGTTCTGTGGTTTCTTCTGCAGCGTTATTGATTGAGTCATTGCAGCTCTGTGAGTGATCTCATACATTTACTTCTGCTGCTGCTCAGGTAACAAATAAGAGTGACAGGGTAAACCTCTTGATTTTGACTGGTATTCTTGGCCAGTGCCATAAGTCAGGGATATTTGGCAGTGTAGGCAGCTATGTAAAGCTAATTTTTCATGTCTTGATCCTCAAACAATGGTAAATATTTAAGCATAACACATGTGCATTAGGGGAGTTCATCTTTGGTGACTGAGTGGTCCGTGGAAGACTTCAGTTTTATTGTAATAGTTATCCTTCTTACGGGAACATCAACATACCCATGCCGACACTTCCTGGGTCCAGCCACCCCACTCACCACCACTATGCTGCTCCTACAGGTACAAACATACATGCGTGTGGCGGACACCTCTTCTTGACAAGTGAGACAAGGTCAATTTAGCTGGGAAGGATGCGTGTGCTGTTTGGCCTAACCAGCCAGTTAAAATACCTCTCTCAAGGGCAGCCAGTCAAGATGCCTTCTGTGCTGTTCACCTGGTTATTGGTGGGCCTGGAAGGGACTCTCACTCTGACAGCCTGGCCCAGGCACCTGGGAAACATGCACTGTGCTGCTGTGCCAGCTGAGCCAGATAGCTGCCCCTTGGCTGGTGGCAGGCCAAAGGCACCAGTTGGCTGATCTCACCTTTTAAAGGCTTGGTTTATGTCAAATTAAAGACTTGGCATTAGCTTTAGGTAATCAAGGACTTCCAAGACCTCTCTGTGAGGTCAACCAAAGCACGGTAAGCAAGGATGAGAGAGAGATTTGCTGCAAGCAAGCATGCTGCTACGATGAGTGCCTAACTTAGGTAACCAAATCTTAGGACTCTGTAGAGATGTTTCAACTTGATGAGGCTGGTCTTTGGAATTTAGAATTTGGAAGGCAAATCTGAGAGTTAATAACCCATTAAACTGGTCTCTAGCCCTGAAGGAATGGCTTATATCTATAATTTTGTTCATATGTATTATATAAACAATATTTTATTAGTTACTTAGCATATATATGCAAATAGACCTTTGCTTATATCAGTTAATATATACATGTTTTTGACTATATTTAAGAAATTGTCAGTTATCACATACTTCTATTTTGTAATTCTTCTGTTACTAGTTGGTCTATAACAGTTAGAAATGGAACTTTCCGGCAACTAATCCAGAATATAGTTTTTAATATTTGGGTGCTGCCTAATATGTTAGTTTTATCTAGGGACCAGTATATCTAAATACTGCTCTTCAACTTCTGAAGTTCTGATAATAAAATTTTGAAATGATGTTATTAAAAAGTCTTTTTAGGTGCTTGTGTTCTGTTGTGGTAGCTAACTTGCTGCATTCTGTATCCATAACACTGTAGAAAGTGTTTTCGTTATAAAATGTCCAAAATATTGCCTTCTTTTTATTTTAAAGTTCAGTAAAGTGTTGTTTGGTTGGGTTTTTTTCTGACATTAAAGCAAGCAATTAAACTCTTCTGAAGTATAGCTTTCCATTGCAATACACTCAAGAATTTTTTGGGAGCGTACCTGATCTTGTAACATTTCTTGTTCTGGAGTCAGAGCTTTCTTTAGACTAAGATTTTTGATTTTTGTATTCCTGAGGACTCTTTAGAAACATGGCTGGTTTTTGAACCTTGTAAACGGTTGGGAAGTTTTACTTTCAAACTTTATCTTGTGGTTTGGCTTTTCAAGTCATTCTGTTCTGCATGCTGTTTTGTGAAGCACTAGGAGGTAGCTCGTGTCAGTCTGTGCAGAGTAGAGAGGAGGAACAGAGCAAAAGGAATAAAAACAGATCCTGGGCCTAAATAACAAACCAATCTAACAAACTGTGAAGCTGATAAGAATCTTTCCCATAACTTCGAACTGCACAGGGTTAGTTCTTTTATAGATGTTAGTTTTAGACTTGCTGTTCTTGGTTGCTTCTTTAAAGTATCCCAGCCCTTGCATCCCACATCTAACTAAATATGGTGTAGGATCCTGAGTTCACATTGATTTCAGTGTAACTACTTTGTGATACATGAACTTAGCTGAAGTATTATGTAATATCTATGGGAAGTAAATTATATTATGTATATTGGTGAACACTACTGTGAAGTTTTTAAGAGCCTGCATCTCTGAGGCTGTTTGCGTTTCCTTGATAGTGAACTGATAAAGCAGCACAAGAAAACTCAATAATCAGAAAAATGAGGGAGCAGGGCAGAGAAGGCACAGTTGGTAGTCAAGTGCTCAAACATGAACTCAGTAATGAACATAATATTAATATGGAGAAACAAATTTGAAAAAATTGTCTAGAAGGAAAGCTTGTTACTCCCTTGGTGAGCAGTACAATTAATTTTGACACATTTCAGTGTTTTTGAAGTTGTCTCATTGATTAGAGTTGTGAAGAGAGAGCAAAGGATATTGCCGTTGTGGGTGTGGTATAATAATCTAGGTAACTGTATAGAAAGGAATGTCTCTGCACATGTAGGCATATTCAGGTACTAATTTCAATGAGAGCACCTGTCTAGCATCTCCAAAAGCTTTGTTTCTTGGGAAGTGTGTTATGGCAGCGAAGTCTGATGGACTCTCCTGTTGTTACATAACCTCTAGGTACTTTTCAAGGTATAGAGTAAGGTAAATCTCATGGTTATGTCCTTTTACAAGATCTCATTAAATAGTGCACAATTCATAGGAAACTTCAGCAAGTAGCTGAAAGAATTAAAAAATTAAAATTTTTAGGGTAATTTTTCATTTTACCAAGTAGTGGGTTGATACAAGAGCTGTCTACCTGTGAATGCAGAAGTTTTTATTCTTCACTGTCTTATTTTCCCAGAGTAATAATGTGATGGCATGCCTTGGAAAAGGTCTTGAAGCAGATTTTACTCTGCATACTGAACCTAAATGGTACATCAGTGCTGCTCAAAGACCATGACTGAATGATTTGTCCAATTCTGAAATATAATCTGGAGCTTTTTCAGCAGCAGCTGTTCCTAGAAGAGT